CTCAGATAAAAGAAAATGCCTTTCTACAGTTACAATACCGCCTAAAGTAGCACAAAATTGCACTGGTCTGGACCAGCTTTAGCGCCTGAATACGTTGAACGTAAAAGCAACACAATACGTGCAGTATTTTGCGAGTTATTCGCAATTAAATGATGGTCTACGAATAAGGCCATTTTTATTTTTCGCTAAAAGTGGCTTTCTGCTTTGCAAGCAGATAGCAGAAAAAAGAAAAGAAAACATAAAAAGTAGGGAAGCGGCATATGATCTAGATGGGCATGGCTATCCAGAAATGCTCTAATTAGCCCGTAATACCCTGCGACAACTACAGACTGCGCAGGTGGCCGAAAAGTAAACTTTGTAGGCATACATGATAAATATATGCAAATAAGGGATGGTTTTGCGCGAAAACACTAGAAATCCAGCAAGGAATATTATATCTACATGGGAATTCAGGGGAGCCTGTAATTAACTCACGGTTAGAAGGCCACGGCATACCGTTTTCAGGGGATACTGAGCCACATAAACAACCAGTAAAATAGAGTTTAGCATTTTTTAAGCCTCTAAGCTTTACTAAAGCTTATAACAAGACCGCATGAGCCAGGTCTACCTGAGTAAACCAGGGGATCTTTCAGATCGGCTGACAGATTTCGGCCTGCAAAATAGACACATTACTTGGCTAAACATCACAAGATTTATCCCTTAGAGCCGATTTTCTATATTCATGAGGCTCTGTCACTAACATCAGTGAGCTACAGGAGCCTGTCACCAATAATAAAGAAATAAGCATGGGAAAATTTAGTAAAATTTAGCTAATTGCATTTGGGCGTGAAATCCGTTTTGGTCTACATTGGTTGGGCTTTAACAGCTCTACTTCTGGTGGTTGAGCTTGCTCACACTTGAGTTATTGTTATGCCTCGTGTGTAGATGCACACTATTGTGCAGCTCTTTGATGAATTTTGATTTATTTCTCTCCGTTCTTAAGTTCCGAAGATAGTGCCGGCGGTGTTCATCCAGATGGCAATGTTAACTGGTACTCTAATGTCACGCCGACTATTTCTTTTGTGATTTGCCTGGCAAGAGCTGTTCTAGCACCCGAAGCAAAGAGCGATAAGGTAAATCAGGAGTAGAATAGTAACAAAAACCAGTGGGAGCTGGTCGTTCACCCACCATTACGCATAACGCATGGTAGGCTTTGGAGCCAGCTAAAAGATAAATGATACACGGGCGGCCAAGATAAGAAAAGTGGTGGTGGAAAGTTTCTGGTGCTCCAGCCAGCCAGTGTGACAGGGGCCTCTCTGTCGTTGGTTGGCTTTCGTGCCAGTGAAATGAAATCTGGAAATGAGAGTGTTTTACGAGCAAAAGCAGTTAAAGAAGAGGATCTGGTTTTCATTATGACTGTCTACTAGTGTTGCCAATAGCGAAAGGCACATGTATACCAGATAAAGCTAAGTATATGGGGCCAAGAGAGAATAAGTGGAGAGCAAAATGTCTGATTCTTGGGCCTAGAACTTTCAAAGTACGCTCTTTGTCAACAATAAGAAAGATATATGTTTTATTTTGCTGTTTACCTACTGATAGTGTTTGGAAACTGCTGAGTATAGTAACTAGTGCTCAGACTTAATGAAAAAGCTTCAATTAGGGCCCGCTGGCAACCGACATCTAGGAAGACACATAAAGGTTCATTTAAAGCCGGCATTTAGACGATTTTGGACAATTCTAATGCTAAGCTTGGGTGCATCAGCAGCAGAAAACGCTTTCATCATCTATGCAAGGCTTAGGTCTGGTAGCATGCGTTTACTAGGAGTACCATGGAGGTCATAAGCCTAATACTTTTTCCACGGATCCAGTGGTCAAGAGGTTGGAAAGTGATAAATGTAAGTCTGAAGAGAAGGAATGAAGATGTAGATAAGAAATAAGGATTGAAGGAAGAGGTCGTTGAAGAATAAGATCATATTGTATTCCGTTTGCTATTCTTAAACCCTGGAAAATGGGTGCGACGGATACCGTGCAAGTCTCTTAGGTGCTAGAATGGTAACCACAATGAATGTGGATGAGTTTTGAGCTCAAGGTGCTTAGATGTCTTGCACTACATCTTGGGCGTCCTCAAGCTACATCAGGGCCAGTTTCAAAGAAGTGGTCTTGCGAATCGCAGATATGGAAGATGCTTTGTAGATTACCAAAACATAGGAATTTTTGTATCTCCTTCCTGAAGACCTGCAAATTTTGGATTTCTCTTATTCTGGAAGGCAACCTGTTCCACATGTTCACGTACACAACCAAGAAGAAACGAGACCGCAGTCTTTTCTTTGCCTTTAGCGGAGTAATGGAATGGCCCCTGTTTCGGAGTCTCGATTCAGACGCGCTCCTTAGTTTAAGACAAGTGATATTACTGTGCAACTTTCTATGAATTAGCTTATGTAAGAAGCACATGTTAAGGATAATGCGCCTTTGCCATAGCGGCTGAATTTTAAGGTGTTCACACCTTTGTCGGTAATTCAGCGCTTGCTGCGGTGGAGTCAACATCTTCGTAAAGCGTCGCTGAGCTTTCTCAAGCAGAACACGGTCTGACTTACGTAGATTGCTGCATATAAAAGAGCAATATTCTAGATGTGGCCTGACGTGACTCTTATAAAGTTCTAGCCTAGCATCGGCGTTTTCTATGTAACGGCGTATGTGGAACGATAATCCTCTTACCCTTGCGACTTGATAATGCACTTGCTCTGCAAAGTTGAGGCTCATAGAGTAGCGCAAGCCCAGATCTGTTGTTATGATATCCTGTTTGATAGTGCTGCCGTTTATTGTTAGGGACCCAGCAGGTATAGAGAATCTGTGGGTCATGACGTTAGATTTTTGAGCGGAGAAGGTCATTTGCCAGTGTTCGCACCACTTTTCAAGTGCATTAAGATCCTCACGGATACTATTTATTGCGGAAAATTCATTGCCACGGGGAAAGTCGTAGACAACTTTCACATCGTCAGCAAAGATAAAGGAGCGACCGTGTTGCAAAATCTTGCAGAGGTCATTGATATAAATCAAAAATAGGGTAGGGCCAAGGACACTCCCCTGCACCACGCCACTGGGGACGGCGGTCGGGGTGGATATAGTTTGTTCAACCTTAACAGACTGCGTACGTCCTATTAAGTAGGAACCCAACCAGTCTAATAGAGGACCTTCTACCCCATAAGCCTTTAGCTTATGCATCAGGCGCATGTGTGGTACCCTGTCAAACGCCTTTTGCATATCAAGGTAAAGAATGACAACTGATTGATTAGAGTCAATGGCCTCGGTGACCAAATTAAGGAAGTCCAGCTGACAGGTTGCACAAGACCGAGCACTTAGAAACCCGTGCTGAGATTCATTTATGTGCTCGCCTGCGTAAAGATGAGTCATGAGGGCTTTTTTAATCAACTTCTCCATCACGCGCGAGATAATGGAAGTGTGGTTAATGGGGCGATAGTTACCAACTTCCTGTAGGCTTCCGCCCTTATGTCTTGGCACTATGATAGAATGTTTCCATGCGGCCGGGCATTGACCTTTTTGCATTGATAACGTAAAGATTTTCAGAAGAAGCAGAGGGATATCTTCACCACCATTCTTAAGTAGACTGGGCGGGATTCCGTCTGGACCAGGGTCCCAGGATGGCTTGGTAGTTGAGATCGCGGAACGGACACTACTTAGGTCAAACTGTACAAAGGACAGGGACTGGCTACCGGGTACCTTCATGGCCTGAAAGGTTGAGCTTATTTCCAAACACTGAGATTCTTTAAAATGTGAGCTGAAGGCTTCACATAAAATTCTTGGGTCACTAGACGTTTCGTTGGGACTGATCTTTAGAGTAGAGAACTTTCGTCCAAAGTTAGAGGTTCGAGAGCGCAGCAGCCAACTGAGACTCTTAGCTTTGTTCGCACTATTTAGTGCGGCGATTTCTTGCTTGGTTTTCTGCTGCTTAGCTCTGGCAGAAAACTGGTATGCCATCTCGTTCGCTCTCATGATGTGAGCAAAATTGAAGGTTTTGTAATAGGATCGTCTAAGCTGACGCATTCTGTTATGCATTTTGGTTTGGGTCATACTTTTAGAAGAATGCCTTATTAGATGCGACACGGGAGCTAGAGAGTCGAGACAGTGGAGTATTTCCTCATAAAACAGCTCAGCCGAGCGATCCACTGAATCAGACATAAAGAAATCATCCCAATTATTTGATCGGACGAGCACAGCAAAGGTTGTCCAGTTGACGAGGTGCATCGGGCGGTATACTAAGACTGCACCTGGTTCTGTTGGGTGGGCAGTATGTGGCTTTAAGTAAACCGAGCAATGCACTAATCTGTGATCACTACCCGGGAATTCCCGGCCGACTGCCACTCGCGTTGATGGGATGCTGAGAGTAAATATTAGGTCAAGGATGTGTTCCTCCCTGGTTGGAGCAGATACATGTTGCGTCCAGCCGCCTAAATTGATGCATGCTTGTAGGGCAGCATACTTCGTTGTTGCAGCAGGTGAGAACCAGTTTAACTCAGGTAGGTTGAAATCTCCTGCAACGAGCTTGTAATCGCAGGGAAAAGTTGACGCTTGCGCAAAAGCATCCATAAGTGCCTTGTCACCCTTAGCTGAGGTATCAGGTGGTCTATAAGCACACCCAAATAATATCGTGGATCCCAGGATATCAGCCGTTATCCATACTGAATCCATCGCCTCAGCAGCGTTCATCATTTCGGACATTTTTGCTGGGTAAGTATTTTTAACATAAATGGCGCACCCGCCCCCTCGTTTGTGCGTACGCGACTGCATAAACTGCTGGTAGTCAGGAAGTGAGTAGTCCTCCTCTGAAGCATAAGGGGAAAACCATGTTTCCGTGACAAATATTGCATCAGGGTCGGCGAGGACAGACAACGGACGCAAGATATGCATTTTATTGTTTAGGGACCTAGCATTTATAAGTAGAAGTGAGAAAGAACACTTGGGGTCTATTAGATTTACGCATGACGAGATGAAGCCGTTGATGCTTACTTCGCTATCTGCAGTAGTTGTAAGAAGTGGGTGAGAAGGCATTGCAGTTGGTAGTTGGGCGACGAGGAGTTTGGTGTCGGGATGAAACTGTCGCGGCTCATCCCCACCTGGCCTAAAAAATGCGCAGGTTGCGGGGTAGGAAGTAGTGGACTATTTGGCCATTTTATCTGGACCGGCGGCGAAAGTCTGAGGGATGTAGCAGGTACATAACAGCCTGGATGCGCAGGTAGTTGATCGGAGCTGCGTAAATTATCACATGCAGTGCTCTCCGTGGGTGAATTGGTAACGGTGGTGGTACGCGATGCCGTCTCACAAGTATCTGGGGTATGGTTGGGTAGTGTCCCTCGTGGTGGGCCAAAATAAAGTTGCCTTAACTTGAGAGCATTGCGAAGTTGTTCACAATTCAATATTACAGTGCGCAGGATTCTACTATCGTCTACTGTCAATTTGACTGGGGCTGGGAATTTACTGATTCTTTTGACCATCCTCTCAACGTGTACCGAGTTTTCCGCGATACCGTTAACTTTAAGGATTGTGCTCTGAAGCTCGCCCGTCGATACGCCATCCGGAACATTAAATACAAGTACGCTACACAACGCATTGTCCCAACCCGGCTGCTGCGACTGTTTGTCTACTGATCTTGCGCTAATTAAGGCTTGTGTGGGTGACATAGCCGTCGTCGGTGAGTGAATAGGTGAGTTTGCTCCGCAAGCCCGTTTGACATTGGGATCCTTCGTAGTGTTAGACACAATGCTGTCTAAGCGGTTAGGTGTAGCTCGTTGTCTCTTTTTGGATGCGCCAAGCTCGCGTTGCCTATAGCCTGCAATGATGTTAGGATTAGTCGCAGCCCAACCTAAGCTTCTTTTCAGCGGCCCGAATGTAAGCTGGCTTAGCATTGTTGCACTGCGAAGCTGTTCACGGTTAGCTATGAGAGTATGCAATACTTCCTCATCCTTTGCGTTCAGTTTGATGGGACCCGCAAATTGGGTTACACGCTTAGTCAATCTTTGAACCTGCAAGGCATTCTCTGCAATGCCATTAACTGCAATGATTGCACGCCTAAATGTTTCCACCGATATGTCGTCGGGAACATTGAACACTAGAGCGCTGCACAATCCATTCCCGCACGCAGCGTTGTATGGTGCTAGCGTCTCCGCTTTTCTTATTTTCAAAGCTGGTGGCGTTGAGCCCAGCGGCTCAGGTGAACTCGGTGGTGTGGTCCGTATACGAGGCCTTTTAGCTCGAGGCGTTGGCGGCTCTGTTCGCTGAGTGTTGGTTATGCTAAGCTCGCTTCGATCGTCGTCGCCTTTTGCTAACATCGGTTTAACTGAGTTGTTTAAAGATTGCCTTAGAGGTTCGGCAGCCATTGGCCCTTCCGGTTTGACTGATCGACTTGTATTAGTAGCTGAACACTTAGTGTAAATCGAGGGTTTTCTTATATTATTCGCGGGCTGGCTGATTTGCTCTATGTATGATGTGACTTTACGGATAGCACTGGTCCCAGGGTTTGCAGGTTCTTCCAAGCAATCAAGCGATCCAGTATCCATATCAGACGAAATGTCAAGGTCCACAGTACCTGAGTCACTTAGGTGCACTGGCATCGGAGAGTTGTCGCAAGTGGCCTGAACACATCTGCTATGTGCAGAACTCTCGGTTAGCCTGTCGTAACGTCGTTGCAATGCCGTTCTCGCTGGTACTAACTTTAAGTCAAGAAACGTGGTGCGGGTCCTAAATTCCCCTTGATAGGAGAGAAACTTAAGAGCCGAGCTCTCGTTATCGAACTTGACTAAGAGAGGGCATTGGTTTTTCATAACCTTTTTTCTCAGCCTCGTGCAGCTTAGAAGATTGTGTTCCAAGCCACACACTTTCATCAGTATTTTACGAATGGCTTGCAGATGCAGGCGGTCTGGAACATTATAAATCACTACCTCATTAAGACATTTTAGTCGATCCATTACCTCGGTGCAAATCGTATTAATGAACCTTCCAGCCAATTCCGCATGCTTTGATTCCATGAGGTCCTTGGGTTGCATCATAGCTGCTATGGCTGTCAGTCTGTCAGTAAAAGGTTCTAATGTGTTGAGGACCCTTTTGAGCTTCACCACTTCATTTTGAAGATCGGCTATTTGAGAACTCAAGGAAAAGATGTCCGTTAAGTTAACGGTGCATGGTATAGTTGGGTCAGCTAAATTACTGCTGCTAGTTCTTGCTTTGGCCGGAGTACGCCCCACTGCTCGCACACCCTTGATAGAGACGTTAAGACGACGTCCACTGACCATGTCCAAAAGAAGAGGTGACGAAAAAGAAAAGATAACAGCAGAAAACCTGTAAGTTGAACGTTAAAGAATAGGTGAAGATCGCGTTGAAATATACTCTAGCGACACTAAACGCCTTTAAAAGCTTGAACAAAGTCACAGCTATGCATTTCACACTGACGCAGTCCTCAGCCTTCTACATCGAACCTGTGCAACTAATTCTGCTAAGAACAATGCTTTGTTGGAGCACAGATCAGCTCTATCTCGCAATGGTTATTGGTTGCAAAAAGCCTTGTTTAGGCTCCTGTGCTCACGGATCACTACCTGGCGAAATTACCCCCAACTTGTGTTTTGACGGATTTTTGCGCGCCACAGCGCCATAATGTCCCTGGGTCTGACCATTACCTGACAGTATGCTCAATCATACGGACAACATCTTTTCTTTTATAACTTTCATCAAAACGAAAGGTTTTAACATTCCACAGAAGCTATGCTTGTATGCATATTTGATCACGCCTTTACGGGTGGGTGTCGTTTTACCGAGAAGATACTATTTATTAATTTATTTATTTATAAGCCCAGCTGGTTTAGTGACCTATTCTAAGCCAGCTTAGGTATTCACTAGTAAATGAAAATTTAATCTGAATACCATCGCTGGCCAGTAACCTCTCTCCTAGCCTCGTGGCCTGTGGTTCGCCTTACTGTCGTCAACTCTTCTTTGCAGCAGTTAGTAGTTGTTGGTTCAGTGCATCTCTGTGCAACTCTGTAACTTTCATAGGAGCCACTCCTTTGCTCTCCAACCTTCATATTTCTCGGACGTCTGTCCCTCTAATTTATGCTCGTATTTTGACTTATTCATTGAACGTGCAGGTATCCAATAGTGAGCAAACGTACTACTATGGCTATACCAGCCACTGATACTACCTTTTCTAAAGCCGTTATCCCTGTTTAGCATCAGCTAGTCGCCATTGGCTTCCGAGGTCGTTATCAGACACTCCTTTCCTACGGCGTTTATTCACTTGCATTACAACGCAGCTGGTTCGTTGACGTATTCTGTGACAATGTGATTATCCACGTGCGACCGAATTTCTTAATCGTGTTGCTGCAGCTGGCTGCTGATGATATGTCCATCGACACGTTTATCCCGGTTGTCTCACCTTCAACTCCTATAGCTACCGCCATTTGGCGCAAGCTGCTCGCATCCCTGCGCACATTCGTGGCTTGCTATTTGCTACTCTTTACCATTTCAACCGTATGCTTTTCGGCTGTTTGTATCACGTATTTTTGCTGGTTTGTTGACCTATTTCTTGACGCTGTGGTCATCCATTAGTAACTAGAATGAATAACCCAACTAGCACGTTTGACCACTGAAACCCGGCCCATTAACTCAACCTCTTGATGGTCTTACCTTCCATGCTTAGTCATCCGTACATATCAATCAAATCCTAGCCTGCTTTTATTATGCTCAGCTCCCTATCGTCATTTACCTATGTACATAATAGTTATTATGTGGTCTAGGTAATCATAATCTCTTGTAGTATATTTAAATATCGCCATTTCGTCACTGTACCTTCTGGTTGCTGATGGTAACCAATCGTGCTTACATACCCACCTGGTCTCCGGTTCAATTATAACGCTGTAAGCTAATACAGCAAACGTGCTTTTCATCATCGTGAAAGTACTTTATCCACTAAACCAGGCCTTCTGCTGCGTAATCAAACGAACATGTTCAGCATCATATCGGTCACACGTCGTACACTGGGTTATCTCAAATAAATGTCTTCAAATAGGATCTCGCCAATGCTTGGCACCATGACTGTCCTTTTCGGTGTTCTCTCGGTCGGTTCCTCTCTTTCCCTTTACTCTGAGGTCGTGCACACCTTAGAGTTCCTGGAGGGAACTGAGAACCTGCCTCCGTCTGAGATGGGACGAAATGTTCAACAAGGACTTAGCTGGACCACGGCTTCACTTCCAAATCAAACACCTGCACCAAATAACTCAACCACCGATGTCCAGTGAGGGTAGCTGGACACTAATCCTTCGCCCCCGGCAAATATACCTACGCAGAGGTGAGACCCCATATTCTGTAAATTCTACTTACATGCAAAATCATACTTTCTCCTCGACTGATCCCAACGTCCATGTTGGAAGCTGACTGCGCCATTTGTCTGGCCAAGATAGGAGACATCCGCGTGCGAAGAACTAGAGGATCTAATGCTTTATAACCAGCTTTGCCAGTTACACAGGACCGATCATAGCAATCCACGACAGGGTTCCAGAACGTGGTGGGTTCTCTGCTGGCAAGCCATCTCCCTATAAAAAGTCACAAAAGTCCGTTTATCAACACTGTGAAGGTGCGGAAGTCACTCGCTACTGAATAAAGTCACTGCCTACTGTTGCACATCAGAACATTGACAAGCCATTCTTTCAATATTTTACTGTCGCCTACAACGAAGATTCTCTGTCTTCATATAATGTCCTCACTCCACCTACTGTGACTTTATTTACTCTACACAAAATTGAAAGCATTTTATTAGCACTATAACTATGGCTTCGCTCCCCGGGAGCGCATGGACGGTTTCTTCAAGTTGTACATTTTTGGTCACTGCCAACTGCAGGCGGTGTAACCTATCCGTCGTGACACATAACTGCATGTAAATTTTGACCTTACCTGAAGTGGCAGAGCTCGATGAATTCGAGAATAAAATATTTATTTTTTTATTGTTATAAATAAATAAATAAATAGGTATATTTCTAGACCTGCTAGAGGCTGCACCCGAAAGGGTTCAGATCAATGCTTACATTTATCCGATGCTCTTGCATGGAAGTTGGCAAAATATATGTTCATCGTTAGCAATTGCAAATGCATTGACACTGTTTAGTATACAGATACTGGGTGGCAGGCGCCCACCTTGACGTTTTCTGGTTCCTTCGGGCGATATTGAGCTCCTTGAATTTTATTGTGAATACTTCGTGTTGGTGTAGTTTGCCTTTTCTCCTTGAAACAGAATCCAAATTGCCACAAGTTTACTTTAAATTGATCGCACAATAATTGGCCACTCAGTTACCTTAATTGTTGTTGCGCACATGGAAGAAATGAATGAAGGAATTATAAGGCATACGAAAAGTAAAAACAATTCCGAAAAATGCAGACATAAACAGAAGCAATTTGTTAAGAGAGAAAATAAGTCTGCGTGCTTCAGTAGAAAAATACCCATTAACAAAAAAATATAGCCCTACTTTTATTACGCTGATATTGATCTACCGCGCAGAATTCCAACCTGAGTTATTCTCAGATAAAAGAAAAAGCCTTTCTAAAGTTAGAATACCGCTTAAAGTAGCACAAAATTACACTTATCTGGACCAGCGTTAGCGCCTGAATACGATGAATGTAAAAGCAACACCTTGCGTGCAGTAGTTTGCGGGTTATTCGCAATTAAATGTTGGTCTACGAATAAGGCCATTTTTATTTTTCGCTAAAAATCGCTTTCTGCTTTGCAAGCAGATAGCAGAAAAAAGAAAAGAAAATATAAAAAGTAGGGAAGCGGTGTATGTTCTAGATAGGCATAGCTACCTAGAAATGCTCTAATTAGCCCGTAATACCCTGCGACAACTACGGACTGCGCAGGTGGCCGAAAAGTAAACTTTGCAGGCGTACATGAAAAATATATGCAATTAAGGGATGAGCTTGCACGAAAACGCTAGAAATCCAGCAAGGAATATTATATCTACAAGGGAATTCAGTGGAGCTTGTAATTAACTCACGGTTAGAAGGCCACAGCATACCGTTTTCAGGGGATACTGAGTCACATAAACAACCAGTTAAATAGAGTTTAGCATTTTTTAAGCCTCTAAACTTTTCTAAAGCTTACAGCAAGGCCGGATGAGATAGATCTACCTTAGTAACTCAGGGGATCTTTCAGATCCGTTGACAGATTTCGGCCTGCAAAATACACACATTACTTAGCTAAACATCACAAGATTTATCCCTTAGAGCCGATTTTCTATATTAATGAGGCTCTGTCTCTAACATCAGTGAGCTATAGGAGCCTGTCACTAATAATAAAGAAATGAGCATGGGAAAATTTAGTAAAATTTAGGTAATTGCATTTTGGCGTGAAATCCGTTTTGGTCTACATTGGTTGGGCTTTAACAACTCTACTTCTGGTGGTTGAACTTGCTTATACTTGAGGTATTGTTATGCCTCATGTGTAGATTCACACTATTGTGCAGCTCTTTGATGAATTTCGATTTATTTCTCTCCATTCTTAAGTTCCGAAGATAGTGCCGGCGGTGTTCATCCAGTTGGCAATGTTAACTGGCACTCTAATGTCACATCGACTATTTCTTTTGTGATTTTCCTGGCAAGAGCTATTCTAGCACCCTAGGCAAAGAGCGATAAGGTAAATCAGGAGTAGAATAGTAACAAAAACCAGTGGGAGCTGGTCGTTCACACGCCATTACGCATAACGCATGGTAGGCTTTGGAACCAGCTAAAATATAAATGACACATGGGCGGCCAAGAGAAGAAGTGGTGATGGAAAGTTTCTGGTGCTCCAGCCAGCCAGTGTGACAGGGACCTCTCTGTCATTGGTTAGCTTTCGTGCCCGTGAAGTGAAATCTGAAAATGCGAGTGTTTTACGAGCAAAAGCAGTTAAAGAAGAGGATCTGATTTTCATTATGCCTGTCTACTAGTGTTGCCAATAGCGAAAGGCATATGTATACCAGATAAAGCTAAGTATATGGGGTCAAGAGAGAGTAAGTGGAGAGCAAAATATCTGATTCTTGAGCCTAGAACTGTTAAAGTGCGCTCTTTGTCAACAATAAGAATTTTTTTTATTTTGCGGTTTAACCACTGATAGTGTTTGGAAACTGCTGAATATAGTAACTAGCGCTCAGACTTATTGAAAAAACTTCTATTAGGGCCCGCTGGCAACCGACATCTAGGAAGACACATAAAGGTTCATTTAAAGCCGGCATTTAGACGATTTTGGACAATTCTAATGCTACGCTTAGGTGCATCC